GTTCAGTAGCCCATCCTCGGAGACCCAGGGGCTGAGTCGATTTCAAGTTGGGGCATGAAGAGCCCCTGGGGACATTGTCTTACAAGACTAGTTCCAAACGGTCGCAGTCGTTCTGCCATCTGATTGGTGCCAGAAAATCTTTGTGTTTTTCTGCCCAATCAGAGTGAAGTGTGCTTTAGAGTCCTTTCGTTTGTTTTAACACGGACATGTACTAGTAGCTCAGTTGCTCGCTATGCTTGTTTGGATCGTGCGACAGAGATTTGCTTGAGGTGAAAAGTTTCAGTCTCAGCACACAATGTAAGAGAAATCGATCAGATTGTCCGCGAAAATCTTACCGGAAATTATACTGAATACTTTCGCAAGTATCACTAGAGAACGTGTTTTAAAGTTTGCGCGGTTTGTACACAAGACGATGGTTGCAGTCAATGATATTATTTCTGCCTTAAAAGGAATTTAACGGAATATTGCATATTCTTCACTCATTTTTCCAAATGATTGATTGTTGTTTTCGATCGTTTCTTTCAGTTTGCTAGATGTTTGTGCGAAGAGTCCTCCGTATATGCAGCTTTTGACATAGGAACAGAACGTGCACTAATAACGTCTATGGTGTTTGGCTGCTGTTACGATGACATCCACGAGTAAGTAACCTAAGTCATAGCTTGTTTCCAAACTGCATATCCTTTAATCTTGCCAAGCATTGGGTTTGATCCTGATATAGAGTTAAGAGTCAAAGTATGAGACCTCACCCAATAAGAAAGAGGACATACTTAAGTGAATTGCAATGAAATACTTGTTCTGTCCGCTGTAGGAGAAATATCATCGCCTGCATCACGGTGTGCCATGACGACGATGGAGAAGATCGGCCGGGATGCGACAGTTGTGGCCAGTACTTCCACGCAAGTTGCATCAAAGTGGATTTCTCAGACTCTCTCCAGCTGCTTTGTCTGCCCTTGCGGTTAATTTCACAACATCGTTGCGGATTAGTGACGTAAATTGATGGTGGAGAATATTCTTCCCAGTGTGGGGCTGGGTTAAGACTAAGCTAGGCTGTGTACAAGTCCTGAAATTCCTGTTATTTCACGAATTATTTGACGCTTAAGTGTTGACAAGTTTTTCGCGTTACGTAAATTAAAAATTGACTCAACGCTGCAAGGAGAATCTTCCTCAAAATTTACTCTTAAGAGTCGAAGTTACAGTCCAAAATTCAAACGTGACTGTTAGGTTTATTGGCGCATTGATAACCTTGTAAATAGCTCAAACATACTGAAAAAAATTTCATTCGTTTTTGTATATCTTCATCCTTTGTTCAGTACGATTTTACGCACTTCGGGTTTGAACTTTTCGTGGGGAACACTTACTATAGCTTACACGATGTATTTCAAATTTAACCGCTGTACTATAAACTTGTGTGTTTGACCCTCGACGAACGCCTTCGATATAGCGTCACCCATCGAACTGAGTTCAATAGGCGGAAGTGCTGATCGAAGCGAATTTTTTAATTTCGTTGCCAAGGTCTCACAGGCTGTGAATATGAATGTGCAATGAAAGTGTATTAAAGACTCGTTCGGCGCCATTTTGATGTTTTCGACGCGTTTCTGCGGGGTTTCAACTGCGGTCAGTGTAAGACGCAGACTGCAGACTGCAGACCGGGGGTAAAATGCAGACTAAGGGTAAATTGCAGACTGCAGACTGCAGACCAGGGAAAATGAAGACTGAGGGTAAAATAAAATATTAATAATAAAAAACAAGACTTGGGAGTGTTCCTACGCGTACCCGTAATTTATATTTTCAAAATCCCGAAAACTCAAACCAAAAGGTGTTTATTCGCCTTAGTCAAACACATTATCAACCTCGAGTTCTTGAACTCCCCATTTTGTTGAACCAAGTTTCCCACAAGCGCCCAAACTAATCGTAATTCTACGCATCTTACCTTTGTTAACGCTTTGATCACCCGAAATACTTTTCGCCACTGTAAATCGCATAACCTACACGCTTGCCATAACAACTCTTCAACTCATGACCACAAATGTCAGACAAAAAAAAAATCAGTTTGCACTGCTCGCTGCTTTACGTGTATGCTGCAAATTAACACGCCTGGAATGGAATGCATCGAAGAGGCGCCAAACAAAAGAACGCTGTGCACTCGTGCCTCGAGTGTAAACTTCATAATTATAAAACTTACCTGTTTACGCCTTGTCTCGACATTCTTGACACACATTATCTGCTGACAAAGACACAACAAATACTCATTCATTACTTATTTCACGGATTATGCGAATAAAGAAACTAAGGAATACATTAACGCAAATTATCGAAAATTACCATGAGATCGTCGTCCTCGTTTTCCGACATGTTTCTAGGACCATGTGACTTTACTGCGTGAAGCGGCCTTTGTGTGTTTCGTGAGTCCTGACGTGTCATTATTTTACGGTTACGAACACTCTTTATTTCATCCTCATGACTCGCTTTTTATTATCAATATTTTATTTTACCCTCAGTCTGCATTTTACCCCTGGTCTACAGTCTCCGGTCTGCATTTTGCTCTCAGTCTGCATTATACCCCCGGCCGGTCTGCAGTCTGCAGTCTACGTCAGTTTTACACTGACCAGTTTCAACAGGACTATCGACACCTTTTTGTAATATGGATGAAGGAGTATGACAAGTTTACCAACATTTCTTACTCTGTGGATACTCGTGGTATTTGCTGACTCTTCAGTTGAGGATATTTCAATGATCAAAGTGTGAACAAAACGCAAAAAAAGCCCGTAAACTTGAAGTTTGAGATTTCATTTACTGAAAATCGAAATGTGTACATGAGACAACAAACCTTGAAGGTTAGTCTTAAGATGTTTTTTTTTTTCTGTGAATCACGAAGTTGTATGTGGAGACGATCGTGAGATATTTGATCCTGGGAAAGATGGGAATTTAGATTTTGATCTTATTTTACTTCAACTTCGAAGTAAAGAATTGCATTAAGTTTGAGGTGGTCTCCAAGCATCAAATCACTTTAAATATCATCTTATTTTCGTTCTATTTACAGTTATATAGGATACAAGGCTCTAAAAAATGTTCTAGCTTCAGGATTAAGTTGTTCTTACTTCAATCCTCGGCGAATTATTTTTCAGGAGGTTTTGGTGGATTTTCCGAGTCAGGACTCAAAACCGTCTTTGGCCCTTTTGCTCTCCAAGTCTGTTGTACATGGTAGGTAGACATATGTCTTTGAAAACAACGGTTATGAAACTGCCTCCTCAGTCATTTCCGGCTTTGGCTTATTTTTTTTTTTTTTTACTGTGTTTTTGTGGTAATTTTTATAAGCAAAACTTCGGTAAAACTTATCTATCACATGGCCCCCAAATCCCTCACTATTGTCAGTTTATTGTTTATTTATCTAGCTTTCGGTCTAACTAGTCGATTTACCTAAAAAAAAATTGCGTGGGATTTGTCCCATGAGTAAGAGTGGTGCTGTTTTCTTCATGTTCACGTGTTTTTCGAAACGAATAGCGTCAGCTCTATTTTGTCCTGTTTATTTCAGTAGAATGCTTTGCCCTGCGAAATGAATTTTGAGTGGAAGCGCACTATGAATTTCAAACCAGTTGAGTTATATTTCACTTTGCTGTATGTGTCGTGATCTTGAAACTTCATATTTCTTGAGATCGATGATAGGAATTAATTATGTTCTCTTCTGTTTGAGGTACAGTGAGTTAAATTGGCCCAATAATTGGTACTATAGACAGAATGGATGGTTGTGACATTT